CCACCCCCCGCACCCCCCACCCCCAAACCCTAAACCCTAAACCCTAAACCCTAAACCCTCACGGTGAAGTTGGCTTCTTTGAGTTTTTGCGCGAGCCACTCGACTTTGGTTTTGGTGTTGCAGAACACCACGGCCTGCGTGATGGTGAGAGTGTCGTAGAGGTCAGTGAGGGTTTCGAACTTCCAGTGTTCTCTTTCGACGGCGACGAAGAACTGCTTAATGCCTTCCAGCGTCAGTTCGTCTCTCTTCACCAAAACGCGGAACGGGTTCGACATGAACTTCGTCGTCATTTCCAGCACCTGCAAACCACAAATTAGGGTTTAAACCACGATTTAGGGTTTAAACCACGATTTAGGGTTTACGGTTCGGGTTCGTGCTCCCGGGCCGACGCTGACTGGCCCGTCTTTCCCTTGAAGTGCTACTGAAGCGCGTCTCTCGCGCGCACCCAGGGTTTCTCGCCTGTGCGTTAGGGTTTAGGGTTTAGGGTTTAGGGTTTACTTCGTGGGGCATAGTAGCGGAAATGAGCACGACTTGGGTGGCTGGGGGGAGGTATCTGTAGATATCGTAGACTTGCTGTTTAAACCCCCGATTAAGCATTTCATCGGCTTCATCCAAAACGAGCATCTTCAAATGCCGCGTCGAAAAATGCCTGTCTCCAATAAGATGAAAAACCCTCCCGGGAGTCCCGGAGACAATATGAACCCCCGCCTCCAAGGCCCTAATATCGTCCCCCAGTCTCCTCCCCCCCACACAACACAAAACCTGAACTGACAAATAGTCTCCTAAGGCCAAACAGACCTTCTGAGTTTGTTCTGCAAGCTCTCGAGTTGGAGACAACAACAACGCCTGCGGGTCTCGAACCCGCGCGTCCACGCACTGAAGGGCCCCCAGGCAAAACACGCACGTCTTGCCAGTCCCCGACTGCGACTGCACGACGACGTCGCGGCCCTGCAGGATGGGCGCGACTGCGCGCTGTTGGACTGCGGAGGGCCTTTCGAAGCCGTAGGCGTAGACGCCGCGGAGGAGTTCTTCTTTGAGGGCCATGGCCGCGAAGGTGGGCACTACGCGGCACTCCTCGGAGGTTTCGAATGTTAGGCCGCTTTCGGACATTTTCGCAAGGGGAGACGATCCCAGGGGGAAGGGGGACGATCCCGCGTGTGGGGTGGCGATCCCCGGGAGGGGGAGGGGGGGGGGAGCGAGGGGGACCTT